ATCAACACCTTTCTTAATTACTATATTATCATTAACCCTAACTACGTTAGTTGTTTTGATAATTAGATGATTATTTAACGAAAGCCTAAACTTGTTTTGTGCAGGCTCATGTCTTATTCCTCCAGCTTCGGTTCTTCTCTTCGACATTGAGTTCATAGGTAAAGCTTGAGAGAGCTTTGCTCTTTTGCTTTACCTTTTCTAAGCCATCATTTTGTTCATTTCCAAGAGAAAATTGTTTTTATTCAGCAATTGTAATCACATACTCCTCTTTTTAATGTTTTCCGCATACCAAAATCTGAAAATTTGATTTGTACACGTAAGTCCATATTTCTCCGACAAGAACTAAATAAATAAACAAACAAGCCTTACATCGACACATAATTAACACCACATATACAACACTGTATAGGATCATTATTGTTTTTACTATGGATCACATATTGGGGACACACATTATATTACTGTTCGTGACACCAAATTTATTACGGGAACGGAGCTATTTTCTTCATTTCAGTTTCGATTATATCAACCGCTAATCCTTTTCCATGATGAACCCAATAATCAGCCATTGGATTTTTCTTCTCCGGTCCCATAATCCCAACTCGAGACGCCTTCAAAGATTCCGTCGAGATCCCATACTCGTCGTCTCGTTTCTTCAATAGCCCTGGCTTGATCTTCCCCATATTCACGTCCTGTGGTGACATCATTAGTGATGGTGCACCTAATGGTAATTTATCCCCTGAAAATACCACAAAAAATACTCACAAATTTTTTTCAAACAAAAAAATATACATTGTTCTCCATTTTTCATAAGAACTGATATGTAACTTCAAAACTAACTCAATAGAAGATTTCAATCAAAAAATTTGTTCAGATTATTTTGTTAAGACTTTGTGTATTTCTAATCTAAACAATAATTCTGATTGAAGCCTTCTATTGGGAGAGTGGTTTTAATAAATTTGTTATAACAAGTAAAATATATATCTAACAAAAATCATATTTTTCATGAACTAAAAACAATTTTATATTACCGCGATCGGTCTGCCAAGTGCACCAAAACTTTCCATAAGTTTTGGCAATATTTTGAAGTTCTGGCTTAGCTACAAGCTCAGGTACCCTTGGAGTTACAAGGAGACCTGTTTGGATCTACAATAACAATAAAGTCGATTCTTTTATAATTTTGTTTTATATTCTCCATAGATTAATCACCTTCAAATTATATCTAGTTAAGCATTTGAGAAATAAACTGATTAATCGAAACTTATATAGCGAGTCAATTAACCTCGTAGTCATGAGAGTGCCAAAGCTTTTGCTCCTCCGACGACAGATTCTCAAATAACCTCTCCGACACAATATACTCAATCCCTGAGAGAATTAGTACAAAACATAACACTTGCTTATATATATGATACATCACATGTTTTCCAATATCTAATTAAAAGTATGCATGTAGGCTCAATCTTATATTGTAAGATACCGACCGATAAGATGGGTTTTAGAGGAGTCATAATCATAAACAGCACATTGAAGAAAGTCTTCGTTAACTCGATGAACATAGAAGTGGACTTCGATTTGTCGGCTAGGATCGTGACCATAGCAAGCAAAGGAACACAAATGAAGACTCATTTGCTTGATCGGTTTCAACGATTGAATCATCGCCGCTCCTTTATCAATCATCCTTGTTTTCATCGTCGTTGGATCTCCCGGAGGTAAGTTATCTCCTCCGTCACGTGCTGGATACGGTCCCGGAAGCTTATCGCTCGACGCCATATTGATTAACAGAACAAAACAAGAGTTTATGTATCTTTCTTCTTGGTTTTTATAGCAAGGGATATA